AGCTCTAGGGAGTGTAGTCCTTGATCCTCGGGTAACCAATCACGCATCTCGATACATGATGTCCGAGAAGTCGGATTGCACGACTCAATGTCAAATTAATGCACATATAAACACATAAATACCTAAACTCCATCATGTGTTAGTCAAGAGTGTCGGAGACCGAGAATCGAGGGACGTTTCATCACTGAGGCACGTTTCATCACTTGGAGTATGAAACGTCCCTCATTTCCCATGTTTGGACTAACTCCTATTCCAAACACAGTGCAACAAGTAGAATGGCATGCACAATGCGACCTCAAGCATGCAATCCTAAGGCGATGCAACCAAGTCATGCAAACATGCAAACTAGCATACGCAATGCTACGAGCTAACAATGGCATACTCAATGCACATGATACTATATGTCATACACAACGCACATGTGAAGACTATCATACACAATGAAGTGAACAAGGCATGCGCAATGCAATGATCAAACATGCGACAACGCGACATACTCAATGCTATGAACTACAATGGCATACTCAACACAAAATGGACTTAAACCAAAGTGGATGGGCCTCGGCCACACCCAAATCAGTGGCCAATGGATGATGAAATCAAAGCGACAAGACACACACAAACATGCACAATGCAAAGGCTCCAAGCCAAGGGCACAAGATACAACTCTCCAAGAGCATGGGAAGGATGAAACATGGAACACAATGGCATACATTTCAGCTCTCGAATGGCATACAAAATGGCTCCGAATCACGCAAACAACTCACACGATGCATGTTGAAAGGCTCAAGTACCGAAACTAGTGAAGCACATTACACTATAGGTATACGAAGCGATGCTCAAATGACAAAACCGACTCCAAACAGACCTTATACAGGTCAAAAATAGTAGCAAAATGAATCAAGATGATGGCTTGAAAGGCACAAGGATGAAGCTCAATGCAATGGCTCATAAATAGGGCATGATGATGCAACTCTCAAACATATTGAAGGAGTGAGAAACATGAGAATATGGCCAAGAAATAAACTCTAAAATATCATACTCAAATGATGCTAAAACATGCAAACACCTTAAGTTAAGCATTGAAGGGGATTCAATACTCAAGGCTAAGCAAGGCTATTACACTACAACCATACATGGAAAGCATCATTCGACTAAGGGACCTCAAAATAGAGCTAAGGCAGCCCAAAATATGAACAAAATCAGTTTGAAGTATGGCCAAAATATGCTAGAATCAATGGCCAAAACACACATGCAATATAAGCTAGTGAGCATGGTTTACACTACAAGCATGTGAAGCATTCAAGAGGCCATTAAACCAGCCAAAGACAGAGCTATGATATGCCAAATAATGACCAAAAACCCACTGAAACATGACCAATACATGCAAGAATGACATGCTACTTTGATAAGCCATAAAAGGGATTACTCTACACATGCAAGAAGAAAACAAAAGGGGACCAAACCGGCCATGCTCAGAGCCTAGGTAGGTCCTAGAAGTCACCAAAAAGTGCCTGAACTAAGCCTCCAAATGGTATAAACATATGCTCCTTTGTGATTTCTCTGCTATGGTTCGCACTCAGTTTTCTCGTACTATTAAGCTTTTTTGTTCTGATAATGCTAAGGAGTACTTGGATTCTGATTTTCTTTCTTTTCTTCGGGCTCATGGTACTCTCTCTCATCGATCTTGTGCTGGCACTTCCCAACAAAATGGACTAGCCGAAAGAAAACACCGTCAAATTCTCGACACTACTCGGGCTCTTCTTCTCTCTTTTTCTTGTCCTGAAACATTTTGGGGGGAACCTGCCCTTATTTCCATCCACACCATCAATCGAGTCCCTACACCTGTAATAGCTAACACTTCTCCTTATGAGCGCTTATATGGTTCTTCTCATGATTATACCACTCTTAAAGTTTTTGGTTCTACTTGTTTTGTTCTCTTTCAGCCTCATGAACACACTAAACTAGAACCTCGTTCTCGTTTTTGTTGTTTTTTGGGGTATGGTATAGAACATAAAGGGTATCGTTGTTGGGATCCTATCTCCAAGCATCTTTGTATTTCCCGTCATGTGGTCTTTTGGGAACACAAAATGTTCTCCAGTCTTTCTAAGTTTCACCTACCACAGTCCACCCACTCACCGATCTTCGCAAATGTTTCTATAGACCTGTTTTCTGATGATTTGATGCAGATTCTAGCCCCATGCTTCCACAGCCACCCATGCCTATCGTTCTTCTTGAGGATCCTTTGTCTATTGATGGCCCTCTACCTTCTCCAACTCCAATGGAGGTTCCTCCATCTCCACCTCCTATTGAGGTTCCTCCACCACCTGAGCGTCATTCTACACGAGTAAGACAACCTTCTGTTCTTCTCCGTGATTATATTGTTGGTTCCACTACCTTTTGCTCTCATGAACCAACTTCTTATCGAGAAGATTTTTCTAACCCTCTTTGGCAACAAGCTATGACTAATAAACTGTAGGTTTTCAATCAAACTCATACCTGGGATGTGGTTGATCTTCCTCCTGTAAAGCGTACTGTTAATTGCAAATGGGTTTACAAGATCAAAACTCATTCTGATGGTTCCATTGAGCATTACAAAGCTCGCTTTGTCACCTAGGGATTTAGTCAAGAATATAGAATTGATGACGAAACATTTGCTCCTATTGCCCGTCTTATTTCAGTTCGCAGCTTACTTGCCGTTGCTGCTGCTCGCCACTGGAGTCTTTATCAGATAGATATTAAGAATGCATTTCTCAATGGTGATCTCACTGAGGAAGTTTATATGCAACCCTCTCCTGGTTCTTCTATTCCATCAAACAAGGTTTGTAAACTCTGCCATGCTTTTTATGGTTTGAAACAAGCTCCGCGTGCCTGGTTTGCTAAGTTCAGCTCTACCATTCGTGACTTTGGTTTTTCTTCCAATGCCCATAATTCTGCCTTGTTTATTCGTAAGACAGAGCGCGGTACTATTCTCATTCTCCTCTATGTGGATGATATGATTATCACTAGAGATGACACAGTGGGTATTTCTAGTCTTAAACAATTTCTCCATCGGCAATTTGAGATGAAAGATTTGGGTTCGCTTAGCAACTTCTTTGGCTTGGAAATTTCTCAAGATTCCTCTGGTTATTTTCCTACCCAGGCCAAGTATACTTCTGATCTCTTGGCTCGTGCTAGCCTTACTAATTGCAAGACTGTCACTACTTCAGTTGATCCTCAGACTCGTCTTACATCTCTTGACGGTCCCCTGTTATCTGATGCCACTTTATATCGTCAGCTAGTTAGTAGTCTTGTCTATCTCACAATTACTCGTCCAGATATTGCTTATATTGTTCACATTATCAGTCAATTTATGACTGCTCCTCGCTCTCCACATTATGCTGCTCTAGTTCGCATTTTGTGCTATCTCAAAGGAACTCTGTTCCATGGCCTTCACTACTTTCCTCACTCTTCTCTACTGCTACATGCCTTTTCTGATGCCGATTGGGTAGGGGATCCTACTGATCGTCGTTCCACTACTGGGTTCTGCTTCTTCTTGGGCAACTCTCTCATTTCCTGGCGTAGCAAAAAGCAAACCCTTGTTGCTCGTTCTAGTACCGAGACTAAGTATCGTGCTCTTGCTGACACTACTCAAGAGCTTGTGTGGCTTCGTTGGATTCTTTCTGACATGGGTGTTTCTCATTTTGCTGTCACCAATCTTTATTGTGACAATCAGAGTGCTATTCAGATTTCATATGACGATGTCTTCCATGATTGCACCAAGCATATTGAGATTGATTGTCACTTCATACGACAACATGTTACTAGTGGTCATGTTCGTCTTCTCTTTGTTATTTCTGCTGATCAGACCGCCAACCTCTTTACCAAAACTCATCTTCCAGGACGCTTCTCTAATCTCCTCTCCAAGCTCAAGTTGATATCTGACTTACCACCTTGAGCTTGAGAGGGGAGGGGAGTGTTAGATATATATTATTATTTTATATTTATCTATCTATATTGTAGATGTATCTCATCTCCTTTTCTATACCTATCTCTGATGTATCTCTACCTTCTTTTTTACACTTATCTAGGTTTCTTCTTAGCCTATAAATATAAGCTTCTTGTATTTCATTATACGATTCAATATATAGTCTCTCTACTTTCATAACACTTTTAGATCTAGTTTATGGATCCATTTTATCAAGTTTATGGATACAGTTTTTCATCAATTTAGATAAACTGACTTCTTTTATTGAACATACTTATTTCTACTCAAATGTTTTGGATCCAAAAGCTATTAACAATTGTATTGAGGTATTACATTCCATGTTCATGTTTTGCCTTCAAAGCTATGCTCCTCATAGCACGACTCCATGAAGAATAAATATCCCCATTTAGAGGGTGGGAAACATGAACAATTGCTGGACTACTGAGTGGTGAAAGAAGTAAGGAGTAGTAGAATCAATACATATCAAAGGTATTGGTTACACATCTGTTATGGAGGCATAGGCATTCCATGTGGTAGTATGTCATATGTAGGCATTATGGTCACAGTTGAAGGAGATTAAACTTTTTTTTTGTGGATAAATGTTGAACAATTGTAAGCAATTAAATGCATCAATACTAGTAAGATTGGCACCCCAAACCAACTACTTACACAAACATCTATTTTGTTTCTTATATAACAAAGAAAGGGTTACATACCTACCAACATGGTTTATTATAGTCCTCAAAGCACACACACTTAGATGCATACAAAATTCCTAGTCTATTCATAGAGTGTATGAGGTAACGTTGGTGTCAGGATAGCAATGAGAGGTATTTTCTTCTTTAAAACAATCCCAAATTTCTCAGTGAGGTCTAATTTCTCTCCTTTAGGCAATTCCCAATCAAAAGAATGTAGAAGTGCAGCAAGTGAGAACATAACCATCCTCTCAGCCATTGCTATTCCTGCACAAATTCTTCTTCCCGACCCAAAGGGAAATAATTGAAGTCGTTTCCACTATAATCCCCTTCGCCATTCAAAAACCTCCCAGGATTGAAGTCTGATGGGTTTTCACAATTGAAGGGTCTTTGTGTATTGCCCACACATTGACGAAAACACGAACTCCTTTTGGAATTGTGTAACCTCCGATAGTGCATGATTTGCTTGGGCAATGAGGCACCATGAGTGGGAGGACTTGGTGCAATCGAAGAACCTCTCTAAACACAGCTTTTAAGTAGGGTAGTTTGTGAATGTTAGGCTCTTCCAATGTGTTGGTTCTGCCAATTACTGTGTCTAGTTCTTGTTGGGATTTTCTCATCACTTCTAGTTTGTTAAGCATCTCCGCCATGGCAAACTCAACCGTGTTGGAGGTTGTGTCTGTCCCACCCACCACCATGTCCTGGTTCACGTCACACAATATGGTGTCAATGAAATAGACATTGGCACTGTACCTTCTTGTTCTTGGAAAGGGATTATACAAGAAATCCAAATGAATGATTGCATATATCATGTATCTAAGTATGTGTTTATACGTGTGTATATATATGAGTTTTCACAAAATATATGTTTATTTATCTAACAATTGTCTTCAATTTTAAACTTAAAATATATTCTGGAAAAAAAGTTAAGATCATATTATGTTAACATGATGTAGGACTAAATTTGGTGTACTCTATTTTCATTATTTTTTTAAAAAATTGGCTTCTCACCGGTTCGGGTTTGAATTGATCCAAACAACCCGAGCAAAAATAATTGTGCCACTTTAGTATTAACTGCAAATAAAAGTTCAGATTTATCCTGACACTCACACAACTCAATATTGGGTGTTTACAAATGTGTTAGATTGTATTTTGCCATTAATTTAGTTAGCGAGGTTGTGGACAATTCTAAATATTTTATTTATAATTAATGCCTACACAATTTTATTGTTCGGACATTCGAGTCAAATTCTTTCTCAAATCTTCTTGAGGAATAATTAATGAAATTTTAATTGTAATCACAATTTAAAATTAAATCTTCAAATCTTAAGCAATTTTTGAATGTACTGAAGAAGATTGATATCTCCATTATGAATGAAAGTGACAAATCAAAAAAATGAAAATTAAGTAATCAATAATCAATTAGAGTAGAAAAACATACTCTGAGCAAGGCTTTAACGTGGGCGAAAGGATCCTCTAGGGTAACTCTCTAGAGTGATCCTCTAGAGTGGATGATCCAACGGCTGTGGTTAAGCCTCACCAAAACGACGTTAAAAAAAAAAAAAAAAAAAAAAAAAAAAAAAAAACAGATTCGGGGATTTCAAACTTCCCCCCACATATTGAAGAACTGTACAGACAGACGGCGGGAAGAAGCGAGCGAAACAAGAGAGTGAAGAAGAGTTTGTTTGAGGCTGATACCTGCATCCCCGTTGCCCCGCCGTCGTGCCGCCGTGCCATCGCCCCTGCTCCCTGCTCTGCTCCAACCGATTGAAACGCATTATTGGTAGTTGTTCAGGTAATCTTGTTCGATTTTGTTTTTTTTTAAAATTTGTGGGTTTGGTCTGTGGGTTTGGTCTGGTTTTGTGGGTTTGGTCTGTTTTTTTTTTTAAATTTGTGGGTTTGGTCTGTGGGTTCGATTTTGTTCTAAACAATCCTTTTTTTAAATTTGCAGATTCATGTTTTAGAAGAGATTCATGTTTTAAAAACATGAATCTGTTTTAAGGATTGTTTAAATTTACAGATTCATTGTTTTTAAATTTACAGATTCATGTTTTAGAAGCATCCCCTGTTTCTTTTTTGGGAACAAACATGAGTGCAATGAAAGACGAAGTTTCAAAAAAGACTGATATGTATGTGAACATGCTCCAACAAAGTGCTGAAGAATGCAAAAAAGAAAGGGTAATGAATGTTCTTTATATTTGCAATAGCTAATCCATATATTTAAGAGGCATTACAATCTATTGAGGTGATTATTTTGAAAGACCAAATATTATTTATTGATAAAAAAAATATGTTGATTTTGCATTTGCAGGGGGGCTATAATGTTTTTATCTTCTTGCTGTGTATATATCATAAGATGAAATACTTCACAAGAATCTTTGCAATGTGAAGCACCTGTGATTCGAGAGTAATCATAAGTTTGTGACTTTTACTGAGTTGATAGGAATGTGCTATATTCCAATTGTATTCAGTGGACTTTCATGTGTGAGATATTCTTTTACTGAGTTGATAGGAATGTGCTATATTCAGATTCATGTTTTAGAAGAGACCAAACCCACAGATTCATGTCAGACATCAATTTTAGTGTCTGAACAAGGATTGTAGGAATATAATTATAGGTAGTGAATCATCTGTTAGGAGGTGAACCACCTGTTAGGCCTAAGTAGTATAGGTAGTGAATCATGTATGAAGCTGTACACGAACGAATTGATGCTCTTTACAGATTCAGACATCAATTTTAGTATCTGAACAAGGATTGTTTTTTTAGAAGGGATTGTGTGAATCGAAGTTTCTCTTAGGCTAGAATTCATGTCTGTAAATTTAACAATCAATTCCATGTTTGATAATTGAACCCTGAAAGAATCATTAGTATATGGAACTTAAACTTTGAAGCCCAAAACAAACACAATTGAACTCTCAAACTTATTTTAATAAGAGGCACACTCAGAATTTTATTGAAAGTATTAGTGAAGTAGTTATAAAAAAAAAAAAAAAGGGAAAAAAACTACAAAAAAAACACATTGATCCTTAAAGGAGGCATGGCCAAACAGTTTGCAGTGGCTTATGTACTAGTAGAATTTAAACTTTAAGTCAAAATTGAATCCACCAGGAGTATGCAGCACTGTTTATTGACTGAAGCAACATAAATAGTTTAGGTAACATATTTTTAATTATATATTTGGAACAATAGTTTAGATATATATATATATAGATTTGAATTTGATTCTCTTTCAGTGTGTTCAGTATGTTGCAGAGACTGTTCTCTTTGAACTTTGTAGGTTTTTTTTTTTTTTTTTTTTTTTACTTTTTTAATGCATTAGTGCTATTAGTGGTGATATTTTTAGTGGGATGAATCATTGTTGTTTTTTTTTTTACTATGAGGCTAAAATATCTGGGATTTTTTTTATTTTTTTAATCTCTATGAAAAAAAAAATTATAATTTAAATTTAATATTTTATTTTATTAATTTTCTATGAAAAAAAAAATTGTAATTTAAATTTAATATTTTATTTTATTAATTTTTTAACATATTTTATTTTTTTATAATTAAAATAATCAAAATAACCAACGCCAAACATAACTTGTCCTTCGTCTTACGTCCGGACATAACTACACTTTTAAAAATCAATGCTGTATGGTAGGGTCCACTTTAGCAATTCATAGTCCCCTCTGTTTGGATTGAATGATTCGCCTCTCAAATTCAGGCCTGGATTGAAAATTCACTATTATAGTTTTGATTATTTTAATAAATTAAAATATTTATATTTGAAAAAAAAGTTAATTTTTTTTTATAATTAGATATGAAAATTACGAAAAAAATGTAAAATAATTATGAATTTGATATGATATTTTGTTTTATTGATTATTTTAATATATTTTATCTTTTTATGAATTTCAGCCAAAAAAAGTCTAAAATTGGCTCCCAAACACCGCCTTACTTCAAAATTCAGATTAAATTCAAAATGAAAAACTAGTGAAACATTCATCTCCAACTTTAAATAGTAGAACAGATCTAATTTTTTTTATTAGTTAAAGTCCCTCAATAAAAATTTTCTGTGATCATATTAGATAAATTTTTCAATAAAAATTGAAATTTCTCTATGTTGGGGCGGAATTTCACGTTGTCAAATTTTCTCTGTGAAAATATTAAGGAATTCTAACTATTATAAAAATATTGTATATCATTTATCTTATAAAATCTTAATATCAGAGATCTTAAAAAAAATTTCCTTTGATAATTATAATTATATTTGTTATTTTAAAATAAATATTTTTGTTTCAAATCATACTTTTTTTTGGGTGAATAAAAAAAATTTGGGTGAATGTTAAATTATACTTCACTTCTATTTTTCTTTTTAGAGTTTATTTCTCTTTCTACGTTTAAACAATTATCAAATTTTTTATTTAATTCATAAACTATCAATATATAAATTAAAGTCTATTTACTTTCTGAACTATCGATTAAATCTACTAAATTCCTAAAGTAATAAATTCAAACTTATTTAGTCTATTAAATGATTACAAAAACAGAATATTAGTATAAGTATTATAAATTAATAAAAGACACTATCTAATAAAGATTGGGACAATTACCTAAAACACTCAAGGTTTGAGCCTTCAAACAAAATAAATTTTTAATTTTATTAATTTAAACCTTATTCTTTTAATTGATTTTCAATTTAAACTATTTGTCTATTTTTATTAAGTAAAATTGATAGAAAAATAGTGGTTTAATCATTAAACTCGATGTAGGTGTTCATAAAATATCTAAAATATTCATTGAGTTTAATAACTAAAATATATATATATGTTTTTTTTTTTTTTTTTTTTTTTTTATCAATTTTACTTAATGGAAATAGGAAAATGGTTTAGCTTGAAAATAAATAAAAAATTTAGGGACAAAATTAAAAACTCAGGATTTATTTTGCTATAAGCTTCAAACTCGGATTTTTTTTTTTTTTTTTTTTGTAATTTCTCCATAAAGATTTTATTCTAGAAAATCTAAATTTCTATTTTATTTTTAAAATGTGTTTTATTTCACTGTGTATTTAAATTAATAGTAGAGCTCTGATTTCTTAGCATTGCCAATATAATTATACAAGCATTAGATAAACTGAATATTTAAATAATAACATTTCGTTACAAATAATAATAGAACAAAATAATACATTAATTTATTTATAAAAATAACTTAACGAAGATTTTAAAGACGATCAATTAGAAATTATAAACGAAATCTGACATATAAAACTAAATAATGGCAAGAAAGTAGCCATTGTAGATACTAAGTAAGAAAATACTATAGATAATTACCTTACCCCTATAAAAGAAACAACTTTGCTTCATACCCCCAGTGGGGGTCGCGCCCCCAGTGACGTGGCGCGCCCCCACTGGTCGGAAATCAAAAAAAAAAAAAAAAGAAAAACTATTTTTTCCGGACCAACCCCCAGCTGACACCTCACTGGGTGTCACCCCCAGCTGGGGGTAGCAAGCATTTTTCATAAAAGAAATTCACCAAAAGAATTGACGTCCACTTTTCAAAAAAAAATAAAAATAAATAAGATTCTTAACTATGTAGGGTCTTTTACTAATTTAAAATGATTGTGGGTTGAACTAATACACTAGCTTGAACTGATCTACTAAACTCAACTTAACTTAAAAAATCAAACCTCATTCCACTAGCTTATATTGGTCTACTAAATTTAGAGTTGTAAATGAGCCAAATTGAACTGAACTTTTGAGTGTTCATGCTCTTAAAAATTGAGTTCGAGTTCGGCTCGTCAAATATTTGAGATATTTAAGCTCGGCTCAA